ACAGTAAGATAAATACATTCACCAACTTTTATTAAAATAAAACCATTTAAACTGGGTGTTCGGATTTATATGTCACTTAGTATATATATATATATATATGTGGTATATTTAATCGATGATTTTATTCTCAAAAATAATTCGTTTAATCTGAGACTAATTCTTACATTTGCACTATTATTATACTGCTCAAAGGTTTTGGAGCTAGTCGTCCTGGCAATTTTTTATACCGAAGGAGCTTTAAGAAACTTTACCCGACTTTTGAACTGCCTAACGTTAGTAAAACTGAGAAAGACGTCCTCAGGTAGATTGCTCCACAATCTCGATACCCTGGGGACAAAGACGCGGTCGTATCGGCCAGTTCTAGATGTATGAAGTTCGAACAATGTCCGAGCCAAGACCGATACTAGGTAAAATCTGCGTTGACATTGTGGGCTGGAGTGGAGAACTCGTCAATTACGACGGATACATTGCGACCAGAGAGCAAGTCAGTCGCCAATCTGCAAAGCTTCTCTGGGGGGCCATAGGATGAAACTCTGCATAAGAGGACAGCATGTCACAGCTGATCGATTGCTTTTGTGATACCAGAAGACCGAATGAGTTTACTCCACAGTTGATGTAGGATAATGATAAGCGTTTATTGCCCAACAGTTTAACACCATTTACATGAGGTAGCTTGTGAAGAAATAAAAACAATAATAATTCATGTATCAATAACAAAAAATAGATATAGCTACAGCTTAAAAATAAGAAACGTAAGATAAATCAAAAGTGAGGACGCAATTTGCACTTCAATTCACCTATGCTATATAAGAATATGTCACATACATCGGCTATTTTATTCGCATTCACACACATCATGTTGACAGGCGCTTTCGACAATAACTTTGTTTGAGCTCTTTGACATAAAAAAGGAACATTATACCTTGATGTTAGTCGTGGTACCAGAAACTGTATTTGTGAAAGTATTGTGGGACAGTCTATTAGATTATGCAGTAATTTATATAAAACTATAACTGCTGATTGCTGACGCCGTTGTTCTAAGGATTGAATGCCAAATTTATGAAGACGGATGTTGTATTCTGTACCTCTAGTAGGATATATGCCATCGATCTTAAAACATAAAAATTTTAAAAATTTATTTTGAAGCTTATCAACAGCATCAATATACTGCTTGTAAATCGGACTCCATATCAAAGATCCATATTCAAGCTTAGACCTAACCAAGCTAAAGTATAATGTCTGCAAAGTCAAAACGTCAAAAGATTTACAATTCCTGATAACGAAGCCATAGGTTCGGTAAGCGCTTGATATGATTTGATTGATATGCTCATTAAAGGTTAGATGTTGATCAAAGTAGATACCTAAGTCTTTCACAGTTTCACTGCGCTCAAGAACATGTTGGATCATTGTATAATTATATACCATTGGGTTGGTTTTCATTGAAAAAGTTACTACTTTACACTTACTTATATTAAGATGAAGTTGATTCTTGGCACACCAGCTTTGGAATTTATTTATTTGACCTTGAACAAATGCACAGTCTTCCAAGCATGAAACGGATGAATAAAATTTTAGGTCGTCTGCGAACATTAACTTAGAACAAGCCAAAGATTCACGCAGATCATTCACAAACAATATGAACAACAGTGGTCCTAAATTCGAACCCTGTGGTACGCCACTGGTTGAGACATAAACATGTGATATGTAGCCATTATAAAAAACATACTGTTTCCTTTCAAACAGATATGATGTTAAGAGTGCTAAGTAAATGTTGTTGAAGCCCAGGTACTCAAGCTTTCGGGCCTTGGAGGCCTTGGAGAAATCGGTGTACACCACATCTATTGTCTAATCTTTCGCACAAGTATTGGCTAAATACCATTAAGTTTGTTAGTGTTGAACGCTGCCTTATAAAACCATGTTGGTCGATGGAAATATTATTTTTAGTGGACAGGTAAATGCGGTTGTACAGTACGATCTCCAAGAGTTTTGCAAAATTATTAAGTATAGATATAGCCCTATATTCACTGATACAGTGATAATTTTTTGACTTTGGAATTGGGAAAACTTTGGCAATTTTCCATTTATCGGGGAAAACAGTCGTTGTTAGGATTAAATTGAAGATAACCCGTAAAGGATGAACTAATTTCCTGATACAATCTCTAACAATAAAAGATGGGATTTGATCAGGTCCAGCAGTCAATTTACTTTTAAGCTTTCTACAGGCCACTAAAATTTCCTCATCTGATATTGGCTTACAACTAATGTCGACGAGTCCACTATGACTGAAATCAAAGTTCAACTCAGTATCGACATTAGCAGTTGAGTAAACGCTGGAGAAAAAATCAGCGAAGGCGTTGGCTATACTTTGCGGATCACCAAATGACTCGTTTCCATACAACATTCTATTGGGAATCCTAGAAGTGTTGTTTTTACTATGTACGAAAGACCAGAAAGACTTAGGGTCATCATTTAGCTGATTTTGAATGGTTTGAAGATAGATACTATATGCCTCTTTGGTTTTAAGCTTAAATATTTTCCTGATTCTGCCGAATTCTTCGTAATCTTCGTTAGCACCAGACCTTTTAAATTTTTTGTGCGCTTTGTCTTTTTGTTTTACTAGTTCTATAATTTCACTGGTGTACCAAGAGGGATATTTATGCCTGAAATTTTTATATTGTGGAACGTGTGCATCAAATAATTCTTAAAGTTTGGTATAAAATGCATTAATTGCATCATTTGTGTCACTAGTGCTATCCAAGAAATCCCAATTAACCAATAACAAAGAATTGTACAGCGAAAAAAGTTAGCACGTCTAAAATTATATCTTTTTTGGTCAGTACTGACTGTGACGAATTCACTCTTTTTGCAGACAGTTTTTAATGTTACGGACAAAGAAGGATGATACACGCCTTCACCCACTAATGCAGCTAAATCTCTATAAACAATACAATCAATGTTACTTATTACTAAGTCCAGGATTCTATCATATTGGTTATGAATATTATACTAAGTGACATATAAATCCGAACACCCAGTTTAAATGGTTTTAATAAAATTTTGTATAAGTACTTAATGAAGCATAATAAGTAAATGATAAAAATTTCAAAATGATTGCACTGCTTTAAAGCCCTTTGACCTTTAATAATGTGTGGATGCACTCTGATATGCTACGCATTCTCCAACGCGCCTAGGCATGCTTCTGATCAGGTGGTCAATGTCCTCCTGTGGTATCTCATTCCAGGCAACCACCAACTCCTCTCGAAGTGCTTCTAGAGTCTGAGGAGGACGTTGCAAATTGAGCAATCTCCTACCCATCATATCCCACACGTGCTCAATTGGGGATAAGTCGGGAGATCTTGATGTCCATGGTAACAATGTGACGTCATTATGTTGAAAGAAGTCTATTGTGACTCTTGCAACATGTGGTCGGGCATTATCTTGTTGGAAAGTTGGATCTGCTAGGGTGTCAAGATAGGGTAAAAGATGGGGTTCTAGAACTTCGTGGATATAACGCTGCGCGTTCATGTTACCTCTGATGAAGATTAAAGGTGACCTGGAACCATAAGCTATAGCACCCCAAACCATAACTCCAACAGTGTGATGAACATGTCTTTCAACAAAAAACTGTGGATTCCTCCTTTCACCACGTCGCCTTCTAACCCTGGCACGACCATCGTGCATGCCTAAACAAAATCGAGACTCGTCACTAAAGACAATACTGTTCCATTCCTGATCCCAGAGTGACCGTTGTCTGCACCACTCAAGGCGATTACGTCGGTGTTCTCGAGTTAAAGGGAGGACCCAGTGTGGCCGGTATGAAAACAAGCCAAAACTTCTCATTCGTCGGTAAACACTTCGCATGCCAATAGGTCTTCCGTGTTCTGCAAACCATTCATTTGCAATGGACCTGGTAGTGGAGAAACGGTCCCTTAAGGCCAATAATCTTAGGCGGCGATCTTCACGGTCTGTTGTTCTACGGCGGCGTCCAGTGCCCCGTGCTCTTTGCGTACGGCCTTCTCGAAGCCATGCCTGACAACACCTAACCACAGTGTCTACACTTCTTTGCACTCTAAGTGCAATTGCCCGAAAAGAAAGTCCAGCTTCCCGAAGTCCCACTATACGGCCCCTATCAAACTCACTAAGTTGACGAAATCGTACAGGTCTCCGTACTCTAGGCATCGTAACCGATCGTAAAGGATGTCAAGAACCAAAATCCGCCAACGTTGATTCTTTACTGCGGCTGAAATATTCATTTTTAGAGCGTTAGTGAATTAAAAAAAAGCAGTATAAAAACAGGAATGTCCAACTGATAAGGCTGAAAATTTTTTCACTTGTTATTTACAGTAAGATAAATACATTCACCAACTTTTATTAAAATAAAACCATTTAAACTGGGTGTTCGGATTTATATGTCACTTAGTATATTATACTGTTTCATGTTCCAGAAGTTGAGCCAATTAACAATGTAGCGGGTCTTTGCGTCATTTAAATTATTTTCCACAAAGTTTGGAGAATTGAAATCACCCAGAAAGACAACACGTTTGGAATGCATGATTACCCAGTTTTCTAACATTTCAAAAAAAGCTTCAAATATATCAACAGAAACATGTGGTGCAGCATATATAGTATGACAGCGAAATAAAGATTCTGATGAGATACAATGCATTTGCATACCAAAAAATCTATTTCTGGGAAACTTGTATCAAACTGCGTAGTATCTACTACAACAGAGTTAAGAGCCGCTTCAAATGCCAGTAGTACACCACCACCCATTGACAGGTTCAATTGATTATGTTTTCTGTCCTTACGATGAACGTCAAAAGAATTGGGAAATAATTCGAGATAGTTTACTTCGGGCTTTAGCCACGTTTCGCTTAAAGCAAATACATTATACTCACAGTCACTCACAGCAGGATAGAATTTGTTAATTTTGCTGTTTAGCCCTCTAACATTCTGATAGTACACTGTCAAAAAATCACTACATCCACTATGGGGCCGACCTAGTTTAAAGGAACAATCCTTTGTACATTGTTGATGAACTTGATCCTACAGTTATTATCTCCTGCTTCATGACGCCTGGCTAACTCAGTTCTGATACTTTTATAATGCTCCATTTGCCTTTTGGTGCGATCCTGTACGATGTTTACATGCTTGAAGGTATTACTTGATTTAAGCTTTTTCGCATTCACCAGAACTTGCAATGCTGAGTCATAGCTGTCAAGTATTACCTTGATGGGTCTAACTTTTGTGCCGCAAAACATTCCTAACCTCATCACTTTTATGTTGGTTAGCCTCACGTCAGGGACAGTAAGATAGGAGGTTACTGCCTGTCGCCAATCAAACCGTGACGTTTGAGGTACTCCACAAGCTCCCGACTTATGCACCTCTCCGTCACGTTATTCATCACAGAAAGCAGAATGGCCTTTCGGACTAATGGAAAGGACGATTGGGAAGTTGTTAACACTTGCTCTTTCTACAATGATCTGTATCGCGCGTTCAAACATACAAAGAAAACGCAAACATTTTAAAGCAAATATGGGCGTCCTCGTTTTTATTATGGCAAACTGAAGTCTGTATCATGAAAAAGAATTTGTAGAAAGTACATTACACTTGCGTTTGCTCAAGAGAAATTTAAACGCGTTGCATGCGTTTTGCATTTATTACACATTAAAAAATTGTGATCTTTGTTTACGTTGTATGCACAACAGTATCGTTATTACATGATCACCAAACGTGGAGGACATTATGTAAGTTATAGCTACTTTTACTTAGAGTGAGACCCTTCAAGTGCTTGAGGTACGTGTTTGAAATTTCGAATATGCCATCCAAGATGATGAAACCAAACATATCCCTTCTAGTGTCTTTATTGTCGTCTATGAACGTCTCTCCCAATACCTGTCAATCCCATCTATGAGGGAAGAGGGAAGTTAAATTATCTCTAGCATCCAGACATCATGCGAGTTGTTTGACATGGGTGCCGGAAAGACTTTATAAAGTTGTGTGTGTGCATAATTTAAAAATGGATCCACATTTTATCGTACGAGCCCCATCCCACTTCAGTTGGCCCAACTATTTAAATCTTAGTTTTTTTCTTATCAAACACAAATAATAAAAATGTAGCACAGTGTTATAGGTTTAAAATATTAACAATGAATATTTTGATAATATATAGTAGAAAACACCAACTTTATCTCTCCCTAATCAAATTTGCAGCATAAAAATAACACATGTTGCAATTACAGCATATGAAAAATAAAAGCCATGACAATTGTTTTTAGTAATCACAGCTGTCTGAATACGTTTAAAATAGTTTTGGGTAGTTAAGGTTTTCAAAATGGTTAGAGGAAAGGTTATTAGTGAGAAAATTCGGTTACTGATAATTAAATTTTTTAAATCTGGGAAATCAAACTCAGAAATTACAACTTTGTTAGACTTATCGCGGTACAGTGTGAGAAATATTGTTAGAAGATATAAGGTAACTGGTTCAGTTAATATTAAGCCACGATATGTGAAAAAAGTAATATCACAAATGCCGACCGAAGAGCATTAAGAAGAATAATCGTGAAAAACAGGCGTGCCAATTATTTACAATTAAGTGCTCTGTGGGGTGACGCCGTTGGAAGGAGAATTATGAGGTCCACAACTCATAGAGAGGCCCACAAACTCAGATTTAGCACTTGCAAGGTAAGTTTTCTGATAAAAAAAAGTGATGTAAAAATCCTAAAGTTGCACAACTTGTTTATAGGCCAAAGAAAAGCCACTATTAACTCCACTGCAAAAGAAAAATCGGCTTAGATTGGCTAAAGAACATAGACAATGGACACCTCAACAATGGTGTGCAATACAATGGAGTGAACAGGCCCGATTCGAAGTTTGTGTTGGTGATAGTCGCAGTAGAGCTATTCGCAGAAAAAATGAAGCATTCCATGTTAACTGTCTGAAAAGAAGAGTGAAATTTCCAGCATCCATTATGGTCTGGGGCAGTGTGTCATCAAAAGGAGTAGGAAAACTTCATTTTATTGATGGAAATGTGGATACAAACAAATATTTGGCAATTTTAGAAGAATTGCTTTTACTAGTGATGGAAGAATGTTCGACATCCGGCCAAGATTTTGTGTTTCAGCAAGATGGTGCAGCGTGCCATACCTCAAAAAAGGCTATAAAATGGATGGAAGAAAATAATGTACCACTTTTGAAATGGATTTCTAGCAGTCCAGATCTGTCACCTATTGAAACTTTGTGGCACGAGATGAAAAAGGTTCTACGACAACATCCTGCTCGTACAATCACCGAACTGAGACAAAAGCTTCAAGAAATATGGGATTGTTTTACACCAAATGTTTGCCAAAACTTGGTTAAAACTATGCTTCAAAGAATTTCAGCCGTAATAAAAAATAAAGGTGATTTTACCCAATGGTAATCTTTCAATGTTGCTTTGTTAACTTCGCGCATTTATTTGTTCAGATGTTCTATTAGTTATAGGTCTAAGTGATTTCAAATATGTATTTTTTTACGACTAGAGTGTATCTAAAATGTTTTTGAGAAAATAAATCGTTTTAGAAGTAAATACTTTCGTCATGTTTAGTTTATAAAGGCATATTTTGGTACAAATCTTGAAGTGGGCGAACTGAAGTGAGAAGGGGCTCGTATAGATAGCTGATACCCGCCAGTTCGTACACTTAAAATCGTTAAAATATCAAAAATTTTGAAATTATTAGGTTGGATTAAACCAAATTTTATATTGTAAAGAGTATCTCTTTGTCCAATCTCTAGTTAGAAAAGGTAAATATGTATAAAATTGTGTTAGACCTCAAACTTTTTTTTGCTTATATAACAAAATGCATTTTTAGCTTACGTTTGCTTAATTGACATTTACTGTCTATAAACTACCTTCCTGACAAATGATAGGTCTCTAGTAGAAAAACGAAAGACTACAAACTTGTATATCCCCTATAATACGGCACGAGTGTCACGTATCTTGAAAAGCGACATTATGCCGATTTTTTTTTGATATTATGCTGGTTTTTTTGACATTATGTAGGTTTTTCCACAAGATATTAACTTAGCACTTAGTTGTACGTGTTGCCTAAACGTAAAGAGGCTTGTTATCAATCTTTGCCTCTGATGTGATGTAAAATCTGCTTCTGAGATGGCATTACTGGAGGCCTAAGCTGTAAGTTGTATGTGTTGATGATAATTACATTGGTTTCTTGTCTCAAATACACTTAATTGAGATTCAAAGCTAGAAATTAGTTGCGCATCCACTTTTTCTTATCCATTCTGGAAATTACATATACAAATTGCTGAATTTCAAAAATGAGATGCGTCCATAGACTACCTTTCCGCCAAATTTAATGTTCATAGGTCAAATAGTTTTTGAGATTTGGAGATTAATTAGTACTGGTCTCTTTGCTCTCAGAAAAGCCCAGAAATGTTTTCTGTTGGATATACACGGTCTGGACGATTGGTACTTTAGATCATAGATTCAAGATTCAATGGTACTGTTTTCATGAATTTTCGGGTTCGGTTCTTGACTCATCATTTGAGTCACCGACAAAAAATATGAAACGATAATCACACAATGGGAACGTTCAGTCAACGTAGATGGAGATGAAGCTCAGGTTAAATTGCGATCTTTGGGGCGTATTTACATGCCGTTAAGAAACTTTTAAAGATTTTATGGCTTAGGCCCGTATCGTCAGTCGTCCCTACAATTGTAGGGCGCCTTTATGGCCTCCTTGATTGTCATAGTTTTCTACTTCTCCGTGTCAGCGCTCTATTTTGAGGTAATGTCACAAACATGTATTTGCATCAAATGGTACTTGCTTTTGAGTTATATCATGTTTTATCAGCCTGAAATTTATAACAATTTAAAAAGAAAACATATCTTCACAATAGGACAGCGCTGACGCTGACACGGGACAAGTGTAAACTAGAAATTTTTGAAGGAGAGAAAGGAGTATGACAATCAAGGAGGCCATAAACACGCCCTACAATTGTAGGGACGACTGACGATACGGGCCTTAGCGAGGTATTTGGGAAAAACTAAAATTTACCAAATCACTAGATTTTGTTCTAACTTTATTTTAAGAAATAGAAGATAATATAAAGGTAATGGAACTTTATTATTGGCATTTTTTAGGCACTACATGGTGGTGTTTTCAAATTGTGTGCCCGACGTTTCGTTTTTGAGAAACCAACATAAACTTGATTTTCTATATGATCCGAAAAAAAGTGCACCCTGTATCTGATGGCAACTCTTTCTAAGACTTCAACAACGTATCATATGTTACATTTGTGTTCTTAGTTGTTTTTATTTTATTTTTTATTTTGTTAAGCAGGCATTGCAACAAATGCTCGATCCCACAACATGTTTTTGAAAGTGTGCGTCAGGAATTTGAACATCGTATATATAATTGTTTGGTCAATAACGGGCAACATTATCGAAATGATAAGTGATATTTTCGAGTGTTTTTGTTTTCTATGTGAACAAATTAATATTTTTCTAATTTTCTTGAAATCGAATCGACCGATTTTGAAAAATCAAACGTCAAAATAAGTGACTTTCAAACAAGCTAATAAACGCCATCTAATCTAATCTAATTTTTCTAAGGGGGCAGAGGGTGAAAGGGGTGAACTTTTTTTTTTGGTTGAAAAGTTGTCCTTCTTGACAAATCTCTTAACGTGTCTCGGCGTTTTTGCTTTTAATCAGTGGTTTTAGATAATTCCGTGGTGGGAAGCTTTCAAATGAACACCCTGTATAAAAAAAACATACAGTGCAACCCGCGTATAATGGACTCGGTGGGACTGTGACAAGTAGTCTATTATAAGCGGATGATTATCTTAAAAGAAACACTTTTTTAATGAAAAAAGCAGCAGCAATAACATATTAAAAGCTTAAAATGTGTTTGTTTAACATGTATTACATAAATACAGATACATACAAAAAAGTTATAGGTAATTTTGAAATTTGCATTTTTTCATAATCTGATGCACAAATTACAGGTATACGTAGTGTGTAAAACCCGTAAATTATTTGGTAAAACTAGTAATTTTCATTTGATCAGATTGTTTTTTGTATAATTATTTAGAACAGCAAGTTGAATTTTATTTAATTCGGTAAATGTGGCTGTACGGTCTTCTTTTTGCTGAAAATAACGTTGCAACTTTTTCACACAGTCTATTGCCTCCTTAGTTCTCACTGGAAGCTCTTCTTCATCGTTGTTTTCTAGTTCGTCTTCCTGTTCGTTATCGACGGATC